GGTGAAGCCAGAAATGAGGGGCTTAGGGTGTGGGAGGGGGCTCTGGGCTGGGAGCTGAGGGGTTTGGAGTGTGGGAGGGGGTTCCGGGCTGAGGCAGGGGGTTGGGGTGTGGGAGGGGGTATGGGCTCTGGGCTAGGGGTGCGGGTTCTGGGGTTGGGCCAGAAACGAGGGGTTCTGGGTGCAGGAGGGGCTCCAAGCCAGGGCAGAGGTGCGGGGGGTGCAGGCTCTGGGAGGGAGTTTGGGTGTGGGAGGGAGCTCAGGACTGGGGTGCGGGAGCGGAGGTAGGGTGCGGGCTCTGGGAGGGAGTTTGGGTGCGGGAGGGGGCTCAGGGCTGAGGCAGAGGCATGGAAGGGGGTGCGGGCTCCAGGAGGGAGCTCCAGGCTAGGGCAGGGGGCTGGGGTGCGGGAGGGGGTGTGGGCTCTGGGCAGCGCTTACTTCCAGGGGCTCCCCGGAAGCGGCGACATGTCCCTTGGCTCCTAGGGTTAGGCATGGCCAGGCGGCTCTGCGTGGTGCATGCTGCCTCTGTGCACAGGCACTGCCCGCGCAACTCCCATTGGCTGCAGTTCCCAGCCAATGGGAACTGCGGAGCTGGCGCACAGGGAGCCGGCGCACGGGGAGCTGCGCAGAGCCAGGTAGGTAGCTTGCCAGCCTTGCCAACTGGACTTTTAACGGCCCAGTCAGCGGTGCTTACCGGAGCCACCAGGGTCCCTTTTCGAAAACCGGACACCTGGCAACCCTAACAATGGAGCAAACCATGCTGTGCATAATAAAGCACTTGACATATACAGACAAAAGTCATTGTAATTAGTAATATTATTTTAATTGTTATAATTATTTGAATATTGCATACTGCGCTCACACAGCAGAAAGTTCCCTTAAGCCAACTGAAGTTTATTTAAGTACAGAACAGATGCATTATTACAACTCCTGTTCAGACCAGTTTGCACTTGTTTATTCAAAGAGCATACAAGCTCTTTTGGCACCACCAGTAGAGTTAGTGAGATATACAAATTAATAGTTGCAATACAAGTAGCTTACAAACTCCAGTGGTTAAGTCAGAAGACCTCAAACTGTGAAAATCGATCCCTTAAAAGAAAAAAAGAAAATGTGGAAGAAATGTTTAAAAAATTAAGTGCAAAAAACTAATGGTAATACAACTTTAAAAGCACTGAAAAGTCAATACATTTCAAAGGTTAAGGTCATTGTGGTAACATTAACTTGGCCTAGTTTTACATACATATGTAGGATTTTCTATTCCTTTTGTTCCCCTCTGAAGTACGAGCTTATTACTTGTTATTCATATACACTTAAAAATTTACAAGATCCCCCTCAGATCCATTAATTTATATCTTTTTTACTCTTTCCTTACTTTCAAAGGTATTGAATTGTAGAGTCTCTCTGTAGCTGAGGAAGGCTCCAGTCTACTCTGTATCAGTCCTTGAACAGCTGGAGTGGTCAATAGTGAAGAAAACCTCAGGGCCCAGGATGCTTCCTTACAAGATCTTCTATATATTTTATAAAGAGTTACCTAAATTACTTCCTCATGACTTCACCCAAGTCTCTCATCGCTACTACTAATAGAATGCCAATGAAAAGTTTTCATCTTTCCATACAAACAAGATGTCAAATTCTGCAGAAATCTATGCTCTGTTACATTTTTGTTATTTTTCTAATCACACACTACTGGTGGTCTGCAAATTATAAGATTTTTCATCCTATAGAGAGTTATCATATCAAACCAAAAGCAAGCTGAAGAATTTCTGGACTGAGACATCTTAGAACAGGGGTGGGCAAACTTTTTGGACCGAAGTCCACATCTGGGCGGGGAAATTGTATGCAGGGCCGGGGCAGGGGGTTGGGGAGAGGGAGGGGGTGCAGTGTACAGGAAGGGGTTCAGGGCAAGGGATTGGGGCAGAGGAGGGGTGCAGGGTGTTTGAAGGGGCTCAGGGAAGGGGATTGGA